CATTATTCTGTAAAACAGACTTTTGAGTTCAAAAGATTGTTAGCTGGTTTGCTTGGGAATTCCATTTGCTGGTTGGCCAGAAGGATACCACCTTTGATGACAGACATTTCAGAGGCAGCCTATGTTCCTCTAGCAGTTGACTGCAGTTGTAGACTTACTAAGGACCTCTTTGCAAGATATTTGCCAATATTTTTTGTACCATTTGGATATAACTGTTCCTATTTCTATAACTGTTCCTATTTCCATTCTTAATCAGTTTTTTTCAGATTTCCATTAAAAAACTGAAGATCTATGCTTTTCTCCTTTTATATTCAAACATTATAGAAGTATATAAAATACTGAAGTCCCAGGAATCCTCATTAGGATTTCTGTGTCCCGTTATAGTGTTTTCTCCTAGTAACAGCAACATATTTTTGTATATATATTACTGTATACAGACCATTCTTCAATTTTTGTCCCACTTAAGATTTTATTTTAGAGGACTTTCCTTGTGTGTATATAGAAATAATTTATTCTCTTTAATTGCTACATGGTGTTTCTTTGTATGGATGTATTAATAATTTAATTTGTTGCTGAGCATGTGGGTTACTTCCCAGTTTTTTTCACTAATGCTGACAATATTGCAAATGAACTTTCTTATACATATCTTTGTAACCTTGTGTGTTTCTGTGGGATAAAGTTTCTAGTGGAGTTATTGAGTCAACGTGTGCCTGGGGCATGCTTTTAGTCTTGAAATTTTTTAGTAATCCATTTAATATTATCATAGAAAACATTTTTCTGTTATTGTCCCTCTCATGTTTTCAGTCCATAGCATGAAATTATACAACAGTGTTGTGAGAGATGGAAGAAAACTTGAGAAGGCAATGTGGAGTACTGTATGGGACTCTGGAAATTTTCATGGAGTAGTAAGATATTGAAGCCATAGTTTAAAGAATATAGATCTGGACTAATTATTTACAGGAATAGCCATCATAAGGGAGAAAAAAAGATGAACAACTGTCACCTTCCATATTGCCCAGTGCCCATGTAGCCTCTGATGCTCTTGATTGTAAGAAATAGAAAAAAATCTTTTAAGTTTTTCTGTTAGATTTTCTGTTCTCCCAAGTATATTTTATTCTCAGTCTCAGTTCTGAATTTTTTTCCCATGTTACAAATATCTATGATTAATCTGTAAGGGAGAAAAAAGAGGTTCCAAGAGATCATTCTAAGGAGGTAGGACAAATCTGGAGCTATGTATACATGTTGGAGAAGAAAGAAATCCTGGTGAAGATACCTGTGGGTGCCTTCTTTACTCATCTTAGGCTTACCATCTCCTGGCCTCTTTTCTCATCTATAAAACAAGACGGTAGATGATTGCTCAGATCCCTTTCATGTCTTCCATTTTGTGTATGGATGGTGATCAAGGAAAAGCTGTGAATGAGCACAGCTCTGTGTAAAGAGCACCCTGAGAAGCTAAAAGTATACCTTAAGAAGCTAGAAGGAAAGGTCCAGTGTTATTCTCTTGGGGAGGGGCAGTTCTTCCTCAGAAGATGTCTGGTTAAGCCGCCTGATTGCCTTATCTCAGAACAGAGACACTGGCGATAGTCCGATAAGCATATTCTGCAGTGCAAACCTCCTGGTGAGTTAAATGCCCTTTAATTTTCATGTCTCTGGAGTTCACCTCAGCAGGGAGATGCCATGGGAGAGCCGGATTGACTGCCTTTCACAGTATTCCCCACATTAGTGCTAGTTTGTGTTTGTCCATCTCTGTCTCTCTCAGATTATCTCCTGCTGCATACTACGCCCAGAGGATGATCCAGTATCTCTCAAGGAGAGACAGTATTCGCCAGCGCTCCATGCGCTACCAACAGAACCGTCTCCGTTCTTCCACCTCCTCCTCTTCCTCAGACAACCAGGGTCCATCAGTAGAGGGAACCGACTTGGAATTTGAGGACTTTGAGTAAGTACATACTCAGCTTGCTTTCTTCCCCCTTCTCTCAAGCTTGGAGTGCTTCCATGTTGGCCACTGTCAGAGCAACAATGGTAGATGTTCTTGCTCCCAGCTCCTCGGTTATTATTTATGAGTAACAGGATGGGGTGAAGGAGAGAGGGTTAAGATGCCCAGAGCACTTCCACCTCTGGCAGTTGCCTTGCTGATTCACTGGAGCCTAAGGACAGAGACCGCCCATTGGGCCCTAGGCCAGAGTGCGAGAGGATGGTGGCTGCTGCTCCTCCGGCAACATTTTTATTTACCTTGTGCATGTACAGTGACTGTGGAAAACTTCTCATGGACTGTCTTTACCACATCAGGGAGGCTAGAGGGTTGGTGTTTTTTCTCCTAAGCAGAGTAGCTGTGGAGATGTTGTCTTCATTCTGAAATACTTGAATTTCCCTAGGAGGTGGCTTTTCTGTCTTACTGCCCTGATCAGACTGACTTGTTAAGATCCTACTCTGTGGCCTTAACTTTCTTGATCTCCCTACTCATACCCTCTACTCAGGAACTGTAGAAAGTTGTCTGTCAAATTATCGTGGTGGGTTGAGAAGTGATTTCTTGCTTCTTTGGGCTTTTTGAGTGGTCAGTGGGGAGAGCCACTGGGGAGTGCGCTAAAGGAGCAGTCAGCCCCAGGCTCTAGAATTTAAGCTAGCCAGTCTTATTGCTGGGTTTTGCATTCTCTCACCGGCTGCCCCTGACTTTTCTAGCCATTCATCGTGTTTCCTTCCATTCCTGAAACTGAGCTTTCATGGCCTGTATCAAATTGGACATTTGTTTCTTGTTTTGATTCCTTACATTTTGGTATTGTCAAACATAAAAGCAAGAGAGAGGGAAGGGCGGTGAAGCATTTTTTCTTCCTCCTTTTTTGCTGGCATTTGTGGAAGAGGACAGCCTGTCAGTCATTTCCTCCCTGCCTTCCATCTTGACATAGCGGGGTCCAGTCTGGGTCCAGAACTCTTAAGAGTTCTCGCCTCCCTCTCAGGCTTCTTCCTTAACTGAATGGATAGTTCCCTACAAGTCATCTTCCAACAAAGCTTTATGATGTGTTTGAGAAACCTCTTTGCCAGAAAGCACTAAGAGAGTGGGAACAACCTTTGTACCAATTTGCCTTCCTGATGCTGTCATTAAACACACTAGCATTCGTGCTCTGAGAAGCAAAAGGAAAACTAAGTGGGAGGTTTATTTGTCTGAGAAAAATGTAAATGTGAAAGAAATGCAGGAATGGCCTGAAGCGGCGGTGGTGTGACAAATGGAGACGAGGTCATGGTCCTATCTTGTCAACTGCAAGAGAAGAGCAGAGCTACCTCTGACTGTCAGCCTGTTCCTTCTCCCTTCTGTCCACTCTAGAGCAATGTGGATGCATATATCAGCAGTGAAAGAAACAGAGTGTCTCTGTTCCCTTAGCCAGGCAGACACTTGTAGTGAAATATGTTCTCCTGTAGATATTATGGTTTTTCCAGCACCAGGGTCTATTCAGGGAAGCAGTTTAAACGTACATGCCAAGGCTGCTGGCACTTAGTGTTGCTTTAAAGCCTGGGTGACTTTCTGTCAGTAATGCTATGGAGCCCTGGGAGTCAGTCCTGTGGATTGCCTAGCCCTCTTTCTATGCACGCCTGGGAGGCTGTGTTATCTCTTTGCAGTGGTGAAATATGGGGCTCATGCCTTCAAGCTGTATCTTGCCTCGTGACTTGTCCTTCACAAGGAAGTTCTGGGTTAGTTTAAAATGTTCTGTTCTCGTCTTACCTTCCCTTTCTTCTGCTACCACCTCCTCTCTCTCTCCCCTTCCTTCCCCCTCGATTTTCCTGTGTCAGACTGCCTCCTCCTCATGCTCCCCCCAGCCCACCTGTGTGCTCTCCCCCACCCCTCCCCTGGCTTTAGCATGACCTGAATTTACATTTCCTTCTTCACCTTTCATGCACTGACTTACTGTTTTTTCTTAGGGGGTCTTATATTGCTCCCTGGTTAGTAACAATGGACTAATTTCTCTAATAATCCTTGGAAAGTCCCTCCTGGGGTGTTTGTCCTTTTTTTTGGGCTGATGTAGACCAGAATCTTGTTTTTAATAGCAGCTGTGGATTAGTCACCTCAACATTAGTAGTCCAGGTCTTCTAGTAAAGGATGTTGCTGGCTGGTTGAAACTATTTGTTCTTTCTCTGTCTCCTTCTCTGCGCACCTCCCTCTACTGTAAACTGAATGCTGCTTGTGGTTGCTCCCGTTCTCTGAGTGTCTATGTGCTCCATGAGGAGGGAGAATAACAAGGAGTGTACCAGCCCGTTTTAATTTTTCTGCCCGAATCTTTTGCCTTAGCTTTGGTAACTAGAAGGAAAGTTAGAGGCTTGTGCCTCACAATTTATAGTTTTTTCAGGTACAGAGGGACACGCAAGGTAGATATGGCGAGAAATCCTCCTAACAATTAGGTAACCATTAAGACAGATTGTTCCTCTGTTTGGCATCCTCACCTTCTCAGCACTTCATGCTCCTGCCCTTGCTACCTCACTTTGATGACCTCTCCCTCTGTTTGCTAAGTCATAGATCATTTTGCCATTTTTAGGCTTGTCACATCCAGGTGTACAGTGTTCTCAGAAAACCAAGGGAGCCATTACTGAGAGCCCACCTTTTGTGGTTCTCTTCCATTTGACCAAATCAGATATGTCTAAGGTTAGAGGACAGGAACAAGTGTATTTAGTGTCTGACTTTTATTGTCCTGCTGATTTAAAAACCTTTAAAAACGATGTATAGCCATTTTTGAGCCTACCCACAAGCTTGCTGTAGAGCAAGACCATTGAGATTTATCTCTTGGGAGGGTGGCTTTGGAGGTTGGTTAGCATCAGGTTAAATTTTCTGTTTTGTGATCTGGATGAATGACCATCTTCCCAGGAAGGCATCTTCTCCTGCCATTCATCTCTGTCTACAGCAAGGATTGAGACTGCAGAGTCCCTGTGTTTACCAAAATGCACAAACAGGACATCCAGAAACCTGCTGTCAGCAGGTCTCTCCTGAAGCCCTCAGCAGCTGTCTTTGCATAAAGATGTTCATAAGCAGGTTAAAGGTGTGGCTGCCCGTGACATTGCTGTCTGTCTGCTTTCAAGCCCAGACCACCTACTGGAATGTAGATGGCAAATAAGTATAAGGAAGGGCTTCCATTTTCATGTTTGCCATCCCTTTGGAAAGAGAGAGGGGGCTTTTATAAAGCCCAGGTTAAGTGCTATGGCCCGTAGTTGCTAAGGCCTACAAAAGAGGTGGTGTGTGTGCTTTATGACTATTATTCCAGCTGTGCTTGCCCCCTTACTCATTTTATCTGTTAATCTAAATGTAATTATAATTCCAGAATCATCCCTAGCTCATATTCCTGCCCTTCCTACCTCTTTTTGTAGCTGCTTTGCTTTCTGAGACAAAGCGGAAGTAGCAAAGGCTTTGCTAATGACAGTCAGACTAGAGAAGCTTCAGATTAGATCAGTCACAAATATCTCCATCATATATACCAGCCACTGAATAATTATGTTCAGCTTCTTGAAAACTGTTGCTAGGGCCAGGTGTGGCGGCTCACACCTGTAATCCCAGTAGTTTGGGAAGCTGAGCCCAGGACTTTGAGATCAGCCTGAGCAACGTAGTGAGAACCCCTTCTCTATTAAACAAACAAAAAATGTTGCTAGCACAGAAGTCTCTCACTCACAATTTTGACATGCAGGCTGTACTTTGGATTTCTGCCTGGGAAAAAAACATCTCAATGAGAATTCTAGTTTTTTAGCCTTAAGATGAATTCTCTTTAGGTCTATTAATTAATTTTCTTAACTCTTCTAATTAATCTGCTTATATTTGTGTCCTCTTTTCCCAGAAGTCCACATTGTGAGCAAATGGAGGCTCACCTTGTTTTATTGTGCTTTGCTTTTTTTGCGCTTTGCAGGTACTGTGTTTTTCACAAATTGAAGGTTTGTGGCAACCCTGCATTGAGCATTTAGCATCATTTTTTCCAACAGCATGTGCTCATTTTGTGTCTCTGTCACACTGGTAATTCTTGTAGTATTTCAGATGCTTTCATTATTATTACATCTGCTATGGTGACCTGTGATGTGTGATCTTCGATGTTACTGTTGTAATTGTTTTGGGGCACCGTGAACTACACTTACATAAGACAAAAAGCCTAATTGTAAATGTTGTATATACTTTGACTGCTCCAGTGACCGGTCGTTCCCCCATCTCTGTCCTTTTCCTTGGGCCTTCCTATTCCCTGATACACAGCAATATTGAAATTAGGCCATTTAATATTCCTACAGTGACCTCTATATATTCAAGAGAAAGAAAGAGACACACATCTCTCGCTTTAAGTCAAAAGCTAGAAATGATTAACGAGCAAGACATGTTGAAAATTGAGATAGGTCAAAAGCTAGTCCTCTTGTGCTATAAACAGCCAAGCTGTGAACACAAAGGAAAAGTTCTTAAGGAAATTGAAAGGTCTAGTTCAGCAAAACAATCTTACTGCTGATATGGAGAAAGTTTTAGTGGTCAGGATAGAAAATCAAACCAGCCACAACATTCCCTTAGCCGAACCCTAATCCAGAGGAAGTCCCTAATTCTTTTCACTTTGTGACAACTGAGAGAGGTAAGAAGCTACAGAAGAAAAGCTGGAAGTTATTGGAGGTTGGTTCATGAGGTTTAAGGGAAGATGCTGTTAACATAAAACCGCAAGGAGAAACAGCAATTGCCTATGGAGAAGCTGCAGCAAGTTATCCAGAAGATCTAGCTGAGATCATAGATGAAGGTATTTACATTAAACAACAGATTTTCAGTGTAGATGAAACAGCCTTCTATTGGGAGAAGGTGCTGTCTAGGACTTTCATAACCAGAGGGAAGTCAGTGCTTGGCTTCAAAGAACAAGCTGATGCTCTTGTTAGGGGCTAATGCTGCTGGTGACTTGAAATTGAAGCCAGTGATCTTTTACCAGTTTGAAAATCCTAAGGCCTTGAAGAATGATGCTAAGTCTACTCTGCCTCTGCTCTGTAAATGGAACAAAGCCTAGATGACAGCACACCTGTTTACAGGATGGTTTACTGAATATTTTAAGCCCGTGGTTGAAAGCTACTGCTCAGAAATAAAGATTCTTTAAAAAAATTTAACTGTTGTGTTGATGCACACCTGTGGTCCCAGCTACTCAGGAGGCTGAGGTGGGAGAATTGCTCAAGCCCTGGAGGTCAAGCCTGTAGTGAGCTGTGATCACGCCTCTGCAGTCCAGCCTGGGCCACAGAGCAAGACCCTCTCTCAAATAAAAATATGTCGTTAAGGGCTGGGCCATCAGGAACTTGCGCGTCCATCTCAGGGAGACCTGGCCTTCAGAGATGACAGCATTCGGCCTCAGGAGGATCCTGTGATTTGCCCTTGGTCTTCCAAGCTTATGCCGCCTGTGGGGATACAGCACAGTTAGGAGCTAAACAGAACCTGCTGCCTGAATGGGAGAACCTGCATGCTGGGGTCCTTTTGTGCCTGTCTGCCTTCCTTCTCTGGATGGAACTGTGAGCACGATGTGCGCAAAAAGAAATATGGGTCTGTGCCCCATGACACCTGGCTTCCCAAGAAGTCTTCCCTGTGTAAATGCTGGCACGGCCAGCTCCGCTGCTTTCCTCAGACTTTCCTACCTGGCTGTGATGGCCTTGTGATGGATGAGCACCTCATGGCTTCCAGGACTCCAGAACTACCACCGTCTGCACCTACCCCTTTGATGCTAACTGGCATCTGCCTTTCTATAGAAAGTTACTATTCATTGACATTGACCTATTTCCAGAAATACGATTTTAGATATCAGGCAAATTTCATGACCAGTAAAGGTTGTTGCTACAATGTCCTGTCTGAAATTCAGATGATCATTTGTTAGTTGCTTTAAAATAATGAATACATTTCCAAAATGGTCTCTAGCATTTCCTTACAAAATCCAACTACTTCTTACCTCTTTGCCCCACCCTCCGCCAAAAAACTACTTCTTTTTGCAAAAGAAAGTCAGCCATATCTCCGTTGTGCCTAAGTCCAGTGTTTCTTGATACATGTAATTCTACCAAGGTCTTCTTAATATGTTCTTTTAAACAATTGAGTTATCTCTTCAGATTGTTAAAGACTAATCCTAATGTGGACCTTAGGATACAGTTTTGAGTAGAGTTGATCAAAATCAATTAAAATAGTCTTTTTAAACGGAAATAAAGCCTCTTTAAGGGGAGGAACCAGAGTGCTGAAGGAAGGGAAGTACGTCTGCATGTGTGCAGGGAGACTGGGTAGGAAAGAGGAAGCCAGTGGGGGAGAGCGGTTGGAAAACATAAAATGAGTTACTTGATTGGTAATTAGATGGCTGTAGAGAAGCAAGTTAAAAGGCTAAATGGAAGGGCAAGTTTCCATCATCTATAGAAAGCTATATAAGGCAAGGACTCCCCTTTTGTTTCCAAAGGCATTGTAAGAAGAATGAAGTCTACTTAGAAAAAAAATTATACCTCAACGTCCGCAACAGGATTGCATAATAAATTTTTTCCTCCAAGCTATGCAATTCTTTTAACTGTTGTATAAGAGAAAATGTTCACAATATATTTAGTTGTAAACCAAGTGATAAAACTACATATTGTAAAGCTCATTTTTATAATACATTGCATATATGTGTATGCACAGTAAAAGTAGAACATAAAATAAATAAAAATAAACAAATATAATGTAACTGGTCACTGACAATGTACCTGGTCACCAAGAGCTCTGGTAGAGATATACAAGGAGATTAATGTTATTCTCATGCCTAGTAACATAACATCCATTCTGCAGCCCATGGATCCAGAAGTAATTTCGATTTTCAAGTCTTACTCTTTTTTCTTTTTTTGAGACAGGGTTTCACTGTGTTGGTCAGCCTGGTCTTGAACTTCTGACCTCGTGATCCGCCCACCTCGGCCTCCCAAAGTGCTGGGATTACAGGCCTGAGCCACCTCACCTGGCCTCAAGTCTTATTCTAAAGAAATAAGACTGGCTGGGCGTGGTGGCTCATGCCTGTAATCCGAACACTTAGGCAGGCCGAGGTGGGCAGATCACCTGAGTTGGAGACCAGCCTGGGCAATGTGGTGAGACCCCATCTCTACTAAAAATACAAAAATCAGCTGGGTGTGGTGGCATAAGCCGGTAGGCCCAGCTACTTGGGAGGCTGAGGCAGGAGAATCGCTTGAACCTGGGAGGTGGAGGTTGCAGTGAGCCAAGTTTGCAGTGAGCCAAGATTGCACCACTGCACTCCAGCCTGGGGGATAGAGTGAGACTGTCTCAAAAAAAAGAAATGAAAGGAAAGAAATACGGCCATAGTACTGTTGATAGTGATTCCGCTTATGGATCTGGGCAAAGTAAATTGAAATCTTCTGGAAAGGATTTGTGATTCTAATTGCCATTAAGAGTTTTGTCGATTCATGGGAGGAGGTAGAAATATCAACATGAGAAAGAGTTGATAAAAGTTGATTCCAACCCCCATGGACGACTTTCAGAGATTCGAGACTATAGTGAAGGAAGTAACTGCAGATATGGTAGAAATAGCAAGATAATGAGAATTAGCAGTGGAGCCTGAAGACGTGACTGAATTGTTGCAATCTCATGATAAAACTTGAATGGGGGCTGTTTGCGGTAGCTCACAACTGTAATCCCAACACTTTGGGAGGCCGAAGTGGGCAGATCATTTGAAGTCAGGAGTTCGAGACCAGCCTGGCCAACATGGTGAAACCCTGTCTCTACTAAAAATACAAAAATTAGCCAGGTGTGATGGCAGGCTGTAATCCCAACTACTTGGGAGGCTGAGTCAGGAGAATCACTTGAACCCGGGAGGCAGAGGTTGCAGTGAGTGGAGATCGCACCACTGCACTCCAGCCTGGGCGATAGAGAGACATTGACTCAAAAAAAAAAAAAACAACTTGAATGGGGCCAGGCGTGGTGGCTTACACCTATAATCCCAGCACTTAAGGAAGCTGAGATGGGAGGATTGCCTGAGTCTAAGAGTTCAAGACCAGCCTGGGCAACATGGTAAAATCTTATCTCTATCCCTCCAAAGAAACAAAACCAAAAATTAGCTAGGCATTTTGGTGCATGCCTGTATTGCCAGCAACTCAGAAGGCTGAGGTAGGAGAACCACTTGAGCCAGGAGGTTGAGTCTACAGTGAGCCGAGATCGTGCCACTGCCTGAGTGACAGAGCGAGACCTTGTCAAAAAACAAACAAACAAAACTAACATAAACCGTCAGAAGACAAAACCTTGAATGGTTATTTTTTTATAGATGAGCAGAAGAGGTGTTTTCTTTTTAAAATTATTTAAAAATTTTTATTCTCCACAGGGACATCTTGAGGAGTAGTTTTTGCTGTTGTTGTTGTTGTCATAGAAAGTGATTTTATTTAGAGAGAGAGAGAAACCAGAGAGAAACAAACGGCTCTCACATTGAGAGAAAAGCGGCTCTCACACTGAATGAGAGAATCCAGAAAGATACAATCCAGTAGAGGAAATGTTATATTGGGGTTTAGGAGGGGAAGACAGGCTTCCACGAGAGAGTGTGGAAAGGGACTCCAGAGGGAAAATCCAGGATAGAGAAAAACAGCTTCCACAACAGTGTTCATGGTAGGGGATCCAAACATGGAGTCTGGAGGAAGTAGTTTTTTAAAGATGGAATCTGCTTGTGGTGAAGATGCTATAAACATTGTTAAAACGTCAATAAAGGATTTAGAATAGTCCATAAACAAACTCAGTTGATAAAGAGCTTGAGAAAATTAGCTCCAATTTTGAAAGCAGTTCTGCTGTGGTTAAAATGCTATCAAACAGCATCACATGCTGCAAAGAAATCTTTTATGAAAGGAAAAGTCAATCGATGCAGCAAAACTTCATTGTTGTCTTATTTTCAGAAATTGCCAAATGTAGCTTTTATATACATTAGGAAACCAAAAATTCATGCGGCTTGCTTTATTGAAGTGTTTTCTTTAAATTGTGCTGGTCTGGAACCAAACATGCAATGTCTTCAAGGTATGCCTGTGTGCAAAAATGTCTACTTGTGAGTATGACAGTTATTTTTGGGAGCCAGAGATGGGTTCTGGTTCCCTAGTTTGGCATGATATATTCTAGAAATACCACATGCATATGTACATAACAGTTTCATGCAGCAAAATATTCTCCTTTTTGGTCCCCTTGCTAAATAATTTTCTGGCAAAGAAGTCATTAAAATGTCTTCTTGGTGTATGATGTGGCTGAGGAAAGCTCTGAACACTGTTACTCAGCTCTGCCATCTGATTGGGTGTGGCTTAGGGGAAGTTGCTTGCCTTTA